AATCTGAGAGTTCACTGATGGATGGTACAGCTCGCATCAAGGAGGCTAATGCTATTAGAGTCAACCAAATGGGGTTTTTGTTTTTGTTTTTTGTTTTTGTAGGTCAAAAAGGGTGGAGTGTTATGATTCAGTGTAATCTGATAGTGTGTTTTTCTGCTCCATCGTGTTTTTATTGCGCTTAGCACAAAAATTTACTGTGTGAACTTTTTTTGGGGGGGGGGTTCTAGATTTTTAGTCTATCAGAACGCCAATGTGCTACAGAAGACTGCTGTCTTTTGATTGGTTGATGGATAGATGGATGGATGATTGATGGATAGATGGATGATTGATTGGCTGATAGATGTCTGGATGATTGATGGATGGATGGAGGGATGGATGGATGGATGGATAGATGGATGGATTCCAGTATGAGGATTTGAACTCAGGACTTTGGGCTGCCATTGCAGCTTGATGAAGAAGTAGAAATGGGAACCTGGCCATGTGCAGGAGGGAGAAAGGAAGAGTCACACACTCCCATCTCATGGGAGTGGATTTGTTCTTTTCAGACCTGACCCACTCCCAAGAGACATCAGTAACCCCATTCATAAGGAATCCCTGCCCTCACTTTGTTGTCTTTTACTAGACCTCATCTCTTAAAGACTCTAGCTGGGTGCTAGTGGCTCACTTCTGTAGTCTTAAACTACTCAGGAAGCTGATATTTGAGGATTACAGTTTGAAACCAGCCTAGGCAGAAAAGTCCTGGAGTCTCTTTATGTCCCAAATAGTCTCTTTGGAGTTGTGACTCAGTGGTAGAGTGCAAGCCTTGAGTGAAAAAGCTAAAGGACAGCAAGAACGCAGGCCCTGATTTCAAGCCACAGTACCAGAACAAAAAAGAAAGATTCCATCCCATTGTCATGATTTTTTATTCTGGGGAAATCCATAGCACTTCAAAATTAATTATAAGTATTTTATCTTTTATAAATGACAATCGAATGGGTTGCTGATAAGGAAGCCACCTTAGTGAATTGAGTCTGTAGGTATGTTTTTACTTATGAAAGTAAAATATGGCACTAATAGGTAGTTAGCCATGATGTATGAAAAGCAATGCTTTAAAATCTTGTAAAATTTTAAGAATGTGATTTAACTTCCCAGAGTTAATATAATCGTTAGCCTAGAGTTTTAAAATACTGTGATCCTCCAACAACAAATCCTCAAAGAAACAACCGCCCCATTAATAAGTGGGCTAAAGATTTAAAGAGAAACTTCTCTGAAGAGGAAATAAGAATGGCCAATAGACACATGAAGAAATGCTCAACCTCTCTAGCCATAAAAGAAATGTAAATCAAAACAACATTGAGATTCCACCTCACCCCAGTTAGAATGGATATTGTCAAGAAATCTAATAACAACAGATGCTGGTGGGAATGTGGCCAGAAGGGAACCCTACTGCTTTGTTGGTGGGAATGTAAACTTGTTCAACCACTTTGGAAAGCAGTATGGAGATTCCTCAAAAGACTGCACATAGAGCTCCCCTATGACCCAGCAATCCCACTTTTGGGCATTTACCCAAATGATCACAAACAAGGCCATATTAAAGCTACCAGCACAATTGTGTTTATTACAACATTATTCACCATAGCTAAGATATGGAACCAACCCAGATGCCTCTCAGTAGATGAATGGATCAAGAAAATGTGATATATGTGTGTGTGTGTGTATACACACACACAATGGAATTCTGAGCCTCCATCAGAAAGAATGGCACTGCCCCATTTGTTAGGAAATGGAAAGGCTTGGAAAAAATTATATTAAATGAAGTAAGCCAGGCCCAAAGAAACATAGGTCCCATGGCTTCCCTTTTTTGCAAAATAATTAGTATACGTCTAGGATAATCTTACTAGACAAGCAGAAAAGGTCAAAAGGTGTGTACATATGACCATATAAAATGATGCTAAGCGAAATGAACCCTAAGATAGGGATACAGAGGTGTTTTTCATTGTCGCTGTACTATGTGATTTTTTTGTTCTTTTGTATATTTTTCCCCATGGTATAATACCCTGTTTTCACTGTATTTGATTTGGGTGCCCTGCATCTTGTATATACATTTTTCTGATTTGGGGAGGGGAAGAGAAATAACAAAATGCTGAAACAAGGGTACAGTTTGACCCATTGTAACAATGAGATGTACAAGACACTATGTTGAAAACAAACTTTACAATTTGGGAGGGGAGAGGGAGGAGTGAGGGGGGGTGGCAGGGGAAAAACAAAGGAGAGGGTAACAATGCTCAATAGGAAATGTACTCATTACCTTACTGATGTAACTGTACAGTAACTTTACAATAATATATATATATATATATAATTTAAAAAAGAAATGTACTCATTACCTTACTGATGTAACTGTAACCTCTCTGTACAGCACCTTTACAAGAAAATAAAATTTTTAAAAAAGATCCCAAAAGGATTCTGCCTCTAAGTGTAAAAATAAAATACTGTGATCCACAAAAGTTGAAGGAGTTTAGACTTTTCTACATTTAGAGATAATGAAGCACTGATACATTTTTTGATGGTTAGTGCTTTCAGTAAATTCTCAAAAATAGATACAATTCTAAAAATCAAATGAAAATGCCTCATATCTTAACTAAGAATATGAAAAAAGTCTCTCTCTTGACATCATGTTAAACAATAATACTGGAAGTAAATCAGTCGCTGTGTGTGTGTGTGTGTGTGTGTGTGTGTGTGTGTGTGTGTGTGTGTGTGTGTGTGTGTGTATTTTCCATCTCTAGGAACAGAGCATTGATCTCTCATCATGTAAGATCAAAGTAAAGTCTTCACATTGTCAGCTTGTCATCTTAAAAATAGGTGAATTGCAGATTGTTGACTTGTGGGGGCGGACGAGACTATTGGACAGAAAAGCTGAGCCATCAAATTTCTATGGAGGAGCAAGTATATTCATTGTGTGATTGTGTGTGTGTGTGTGTGTGTGTGATGTTCTGTGTTGGCTAGATGTCTATAATCCTAAACTGAGCTTTATTGATTTAATATATTTAATAATCTGTCTTAATAGTATGTCTGTTTTATAAAGATTATTTCTCTTGACTAATTTCTGGGAATTGTGTTTCGCTTATCACTAAAGCTAAGCACAGTCAATAATATAATCTCTGAATTCAAGAGGTGGGCAGTTTTGGAGGGGACATTTGCGCTGAACCTCTTCTGCTTTGGCTCAGTGGACTGTCACACTGGGTAGCTGTGCGGGGCCATAATACAATGAACTTAAAAAGGGAACACTTCTTCAAGTAAAAGCTACTTATTGCCAGGAATTAAGAAAATTCATAAATGCATAACAAATTAGGAAATAATTAGAACAAACCTGCCACATTCTGACATACCTTTTATTTTTTACTTGTATGGGAGTATGTATAGAGAGTTAAACAAAATTCAAATTATAGCTGGGCTCTTATAGCTCATGCCTGTAATACTAGCTACTAAGGAGGTGGAACCCTTGGGGATCATGGATGAAGTCATCCAGGATAGGAAAGCCCTTGAAATTTGGCCAAAAGCCGATCTGGAGGTGTGGCTCAAGTGATAGAGCACCAGCTGAATAAGTGTATAAGTCCTGAGTACCTGTACAATCCCAGTACCTGTACAGAAATATACTATGCATCACTATTGATTCTTTTTCCCTTCTGAGTGGCCTAGAGAGGAATAAAGACCACTGTTATTTAGCAACATGAAGGATACTTGCCCTGTCCCCAGAAGCAATTTTGGAGCCATGTGTCAGAAGACATGTCCAAATGACTCTAGTCACGGAGCTCTGGCCCAAGTCTTAGAGCACCAGCCTTAAGAAAAAAAAAGCTTAGGAATAGCCTCCAGGCCCTGAGTTCAAGACCCAGGACTAGCATGAAAGGAAGGAAGGAAAGAAGGGCCTTCTGCCCCAGAATTCTTACCTGGAAAAATAAAATTTAGCGTTATTTATCTTATAGTAATGTTAGAATAAAGATTCAAAGTAATATAGGAAAGTGGATATACTTACTAAAAGGGTGGCTGTTATTATTTATAATAGTTACATTTATTTTTCTTGGATGAGGAACTCAAACTTGATACCTGATGTTTTTACTCTCTACCACATGAGACATGCAACATTTTTTATTGGCCAAAATAAGTGGTTATTAGTGTCGAAAGATTGGTCCAGTTATCTGTGTTACATTAAATAAGTAAACTAATTAGTTAATTAATGTAACACAGATAACTGGACCAATCTTTAATTAGTTAATTAATGTGTGTGTTTTATTGGTCCATGATAGAAGAGATTGTCTAGTAGCACTAAGTTTTGCAAGTTACGCCTCTGGAAGGAAGCAACTATGTGGCAGTAGTCCTAGCAATCCTTTGTCGATAATATTTTGGACCTTTGTTTTATTAATGAAATTTAAGAAATTTTCTGACCTTTACATTTAACAGATTAGCATGATTCATCACTTTTCTTATTAAAGAGAGAATATTGTCCTTGGACTTTTAATAAACGTTGGTTCTCTGATAAGATAGGTGCCTGATTGTATAATATTATTCGGACCTGAGGCTAAATTCACCACATTTGGGTTCATGGCAGTTGGTGAAGAATCCAAGCCAAGGACAAAAAGATTTTTGGAAAGCAGGTGCCAGTGGTTCAACCTCGAATCCTAGCTACTCAAGGGGCTGAGATCTGAGGATTGCTGTTCAAAGCCAGCCCAGGTAGAAAGGTCTGTGAAACTTCTTGAAAAAAGCTGGGAAATGGAGCTGTGGCTCAAAGTGATAGAGTGTTAGCCTTGAGTGAAAAAGCTTAGGGACAGAACCCAGGCCCCGAGTTCAAGTCCTACGACTGACAAGAAAAAAAATAGAAACAGGGATCAGATCTCTGGAGTCTCTTCTTGAAGTTTTTACTTGATCAAATCATTAGGAAATATATGAGTATATTTTAAAGACACTTTAACTTTATAATAACCATAAAAAGTCTTAATTTCAACCTCTTTCTTGTCTCTCAACAGTTTGGAAGAACTGAAGTGATTGATAATACTTTAAATCCTGACTTTGTAAGAAAATTTATTCTGGACTACTTTTTTGAAGAAAGAGAGAACCTTCGTTTTGACTTGTAAGTTGTATTCAAATTTGCCATTTTTAGAACTTAGTTTTATTAGTGTTTAAGTCTAGGTCCTGTGGTTACCCTTTTTGTTGTTGTTGTTGTTGTTACATTGAATACTGAGTCACATTGGCAAGAAAGAGATGGGGTTCTCTCTTCCTGACCCAGCGCATGTTGGGTGTGACACACCTGCATTAGGCTTTCTGGTAACTGGAACAACAGGCATGTTCTATCTAGCTCAGCTCCTTGACATGAGGTCTCTTAAACATTTTTTTCTCTCCTACTCTGGCATTGAACTGTGACCTCACCAATTGTGTACTCCCAAGTAGCTAGGATTACACCACCGGTGCCTGGATTTCTCTCTTTCTCTCTGTGTGTGTGGAGCTAGGGACTCTAGGGACTCTCTCACACATGCTGGCCAGTGCTCTACCACTCAGCCCTCCCCCCTCCCCAACTCTATAAACACCTTTCTAATGACAAAAGTTATCACTATCTTACTGCAGAAAGCTCTAATTTACCACCGAATGCAAGGAAGTCTTTTACTGTGAATTGTTTTATTTTCCTTTAATATTTATACAGTAAGATAACCTCCAGTGCTTCTGTGTAAGAGGCATGTTTTAACAGTCCTGTTCTTTTGAGGATGCTGGTTATTTATCTTTAGTATTTTATTTATTTGTTTGCTTGCTTCCTTTGTTGTGTGATACTGGAGATTGAACCCTGGTCCTTGTTTGTACTGTGTTCCTCCACTTGAACTAGACCCCTCAGCTGTTTTGTATTTTGTTTTTGAGGCTGTATCTTGCTAACTGGCCTCAAAATCTCAATCCTCCTGCCTCCAGTGTAGCCGAGATTACAGCCAGGTAAGATGAGTGCTTGCTGAGTAATCACTATTTTTATCAAACAAAATGTATTAGGTTCATCTTGTTTTTTATTTCTTAGAAATTCCTTTGCAAAGAATGAAAATCAAGCTTATGAGAAGCAAACGTGGAACAGAGTGTGACAACTTGTAACAACTCACCCTGCTTTTTCTGGGGTCTGCCCATTGTGTTGTTATTGAAAACAGACAAGAGTCTTGTTTTGTTCAGGCAATCATAGCATATGTTATCCTAGATTTCAAAATAAAGAAACAGTCTTTCTCAAATGGCTTTGTGACTGTTCAGTAACAACTACAGCATGCTTTTATGCTTTCATCTTTTGGTCTTCTTTTACTTATTTATTGAATTTTCTAGTACTGGGGCTTGATCTCAGCTTTTTTGCTCATGACTGGCATTTTACCACTTGAACCACACCTCTAGTCTGGCCTGATGCTAGTTAATTGGAGATTGAGTCTTAAGGCTTTCCATGCCTGGGCTGGCTTTAAACTGCACGATCCTCAGATCTCTTTATTTAACCAACACATTCTTCAAGTTGCTAAGTGAGGTAATGTTTGTCCACTGCACCTGTATTTCCTTTAGTCAGATTTAAATTTATCCGAAAAAAACAACGTTATGTGAATTTTTCTTCTCGTTCCTTGTTTCCCTCTCTCTCTTTTGTTCTCATTCCGTTCATCTGCATTATTTCCTGTCATGTAAAATTAATAAACACTTATTATAAGCTTAAAGACATTGAAAAGGTGAAAATTCCCTGTTATTTCTGGTGCTTGTGGCCCATGCCTGTAATCCTAACTACTTGGGAGGATGAGAATGGCCAATCAGGGCAGAAAAGTTTGTGCAACACCTTCTCAACTCAGTTGCTGGATATACTCATGCTAACTTGGAGGGAGGCTGAGATTGTGAGGACTTGGTTCCAGGCCAACCTCAGGCTGTAAATTTCACTAGACTTCATTTCAACTGAAGAAGCTGGTTTTGTGGTGCACCCCTGATATCTCAGCTATGATGGGAAACTTAAAATAGGTAGATCACAGTCCAAGAGTGTACCTAGGCAAGAAGTGAGAGCCTATTTTAAAAATAACCTGAGATCTGAGGATCTTGGTTCAAAGCCAGACTGGGCAGGAAAGTCTGTGAGACTCTTATCTCCAATAAATCACTAGAAAACTGGAAGTGGCGCTGTGGCTCAAGTGGTAGAGCACTAGTCTTGAGCGGAAGTGCTGAGGGACAGTGCCCAGGCCCAGAGTTCAAGGCCTACAACTGACAAAAAAAAAAAATAATCAACACAAGACCAGTGCCTATGGTTCACATCTATAATCCTAGTTACTTAAGAGGCTGAGATCTGAGGCTCACGGTTAGAAACCAGCCAGGCAGAAAAATCTGTGAGACTCTCATCTTTTTGCTGAACAAAGACTGAAGACCTTAGCAGAAAATTAACTAAAGCAAAAGAAAGGGGGGGGGGGCGCTGGCTGGAGGCATAGCTCAAGTGTGAAAGCACTTGCCTAATAAGTTTAAAGCCCTAATCCCAGTATTAATTCTCCTCCCTCCCCTGGAAAAAAAGCTAGAAGTGGAAGTATGGCTCATGTTGAGCAAAAAAGCCAAGTAGGAGTGGGAGGCCCTGAGTTCAAGCCCTGAACTGACACAAAGTCTATAAATAACCAGTACAGGAAGGGCTGGGGACATGGCTCAGTGGTAGAGCACCTGTCTAATGAACAGAAGTTTAAGAACAGTGCTCCTAAGTTATGTGATGAAACCATTACTTAAAATACATTCATGTGTATTGCAATGTGTACATTGCATTGTCAATTGTACAAATTGCATGTGAATTACAATGAGCACATTTTTTCTGTACCTTAAGATTTTAACATATTTTTATATGTCACTGAGAATGCACATACCTCATTCATTTGAAAGGCTACATCATTTCCATTGTTTGTAAGACATGTAATTTACCTGATGGTCCAGGTGGCTCACACCTGTAATCCTACCTGTTCAGTAGCCTGAGATCTGAGGATTATAGTTCAAAGCCAGCTTGGACAGGAAAGTCCATGAAACTCCTATCTCTAGTTAACCATAAAAAAATCCAGAGGTGGAGGTGTGACTCAAGTGGTAGAGCACCAGCCTTGAGCAAACATGGTTAGGGGCAATGCCCAGATTCTGAGTTCAAATCTCATTGATGTCTCAAGAAGAAGAAAGAGGAGGAAAAGGAGGAAGAGGAGGAGAAAAGGAGAAGGAAAAGAATGAGGAGGAGGAAGAAGAGGAAGAGGGGCAGAGGAGGAGGAAGAAGAGGGGGAGGAAAGAGAAATGTAACTTATCAAACCCGACAGTGGTTCTATCGTTTCTAGTACACACAATCCTGTAGTAAGCATGGTTGTATGCAAATCTTTTGCTGTGTGTGTGTGTGTGTGTGTGTGTATTTTTCATATTCACTGAATAAATTGGTATTCAGATTCACATTTTATGATTTTAACAAGGCTGTTCATTGTCTTCTGGCTCCAAACCTTTGAAACCAACTTAGGGGAGTCATAAACTTTATGACTTCTCTGAATTCAGTCACAGCTTGTTCAGCTCTGACATTTCAAACCATTTCTCGGGTAGTTTTAGTTGTTATCAGCTGACTGGCCTCTGTCAACGTGATGGCGGCCACCTGCCGAGTGACTGCACTTACTCATTTCCTGCCTCCGTTATCTCATTTTGTCCCCTGCTTTGGGCTCCAATCCCTGTTGTGTTCACCGTTCTTCACCTGACACTCATTGCTGGATTTGTTCTAAGAATATTTATCTCAGTGTGATAAGAAAATAGGAAATAACAGAAATTGGCGTATACAAATTGATAAGCACGTATATTTTTCAACTTCCTAGAAATTACATACTCAAAGAAACTCATGTCTGAAATGGAAATACAAGCTCTGCACTGTAGAGCACACCTGTAATTTAGTTGTGCAAGAGTTAGAGACAGGGAGGATTGAAGTTCAAGGTTAGCTCAGGCACAGAAGTTAATATGAGATTTCCCCCATCTCAAGTCAATGAGCTGGTGTGGTGATGTGCCTGTTGATCCTAGCTATTCTGGAGGCTGAAGGTACAGAGGATCAAGGCCCAAGAGCTGCCCTTATCAGAAAGTTAACTAAAGCAAAAAGGGTTGGAGGCATGGCTCAAGAGTGAGAACACCTGTCTTGTAAGCTCAGAACACTGAGTTCGAACTCCAATATTGCCAAAAAAAAGAATGACAGCCTACTGGGAAATCTAATTAAATTGCTATGACTGCTTTTTCAGTTGATTCAGTCAACGGTTTATTTTATATGCTCTTTGAAGAAATTTGGAGAGGGCTCACCTACAGATTCTGAGGAAAGTGACAGTTATGTTCTCTTAGCAAAAGTAGCACATTTGAAATCGGGGCCATTACATTCTTTTTATTTTTTTTCCCTTTGCTGGAATAACGCCTGTAATATTTTCAACCTGTAAGAGCAAGCTTTTCTTTCTTTCTTTTTTTTTTTTTGGTGCTAGTCTTGGGGCTTGAACTCAAGGCCTGGTTGCTTTTGTCCTCACAGCTCTAGTGCTCTATCACTTGAGCCATAGCTCCATTTCTGGCTTGGTGGTTAATTGGAGATAAAAGTCTTGAAGATTTTCTTTCTCATGCTAGATTTGAACTGTAAACCTTTTGTATATCACCTGTATAATAACAATCCATTTTTAAAAAAGGATTGGTTGGTCAGTTTTGCATCTTAAAAGTTATTTTATTTTTGGTCTGATGTATTCATATTTGAGACATAGTCTTTGTCATCATGCTATATAGTTTGGTTTATTAATTGGTGATAGGAGTGTCACTGGCTTTTTTATGCCTGGGATGTCTTAGAACCATAATCCTAAGATCTCAGCTTGCTGCATAGCTAGGATTACAAGTGTGAGCCATACCACTAGGCACTTCTCCTTTTTAAGCCCTTTTTCCAAACAAAAAAACAAATGAGATTTAAACAATGGAGTCAAATGTCTTTGTCTTTGTAACTCCTGGGTAATTTATCTTTTTTTCAGTCAGTCTCCCCACAATATTATGGGCATGAGCTACCCTGCTATGATCTGTGTTTTGATTTTTTTTATATTTGTGTTTCTTTAACTGAACTGAACATACCACATTTTCCTATCCAATCATTATTAACCCAAAAGCCATTTCTCAAAGTTACTTTTTGAAAAAGGAGATAGCTAGAAATGAATCTTTTGATTTATATTTAATGTCATTAGGCTTGCTAATTTTAGTGTTATCTTTAAAAGTTTTCTGGAATAGCTGGGTGCTGGTGGCTCATACTTGGAAGGCTGAGATTTGAGGATTACAGTTTGAAGCCAGCCAGGGCAGGAAAAATCCATGAGTCTCTTACCTTAAATTAACCACCAGAAAACCAGAATTGGAGCCATAGCTCAAAGTGCTAGCCTTGGGTGAAAAAGCTTAGGGACAGTACCCAGGCCCTGAGTTCAAGGCCCTAAGTTCAAGCCCATGACTGGCAAAAAAAGAAAAGAAAAATATCGGATAAGAGCTGTGTGTGTGTGTGTGTGTGTGTGTGTGTGTGTGTGTGTGTGTGTGTGTGTGTGTTGGAGTTTGAACTCAGGGCCTGAGTGCTATCTCTGAGCTTTTGGGCTTAAGGATAGCACTCTGTCATTTGAGTTATAGCTCCACTTTGGCTTTTTGCTAGTTAATTGTAGATAAGTCTCATGGACTTTGAACCGTGATCCTCAGATCTCAGCCTCCTGTTTAGATAGGATTACAGGCATGAGTCCCCAGAGCTTGGCAAGGATAAGATAGTTTAGGTTATTACTGGGGTTTGACATCAGGAACTCGTGCTTGGTGGGCAGACACTGTGCTACTTGTGTCTTGCGTCTAGACTTAAGACGGATTTTTCTATGAACACCTGGAGTTGGAGTGTAGAAGTTGGCTTTTGATGATTTCAAATTCCAGATATTGAGTGTGTGCAGCTTTCTGGTGTGAGTAAAGTCCTTTCTTCGTCCCTGTTGGTATTTGCAGCAAGTGATTTTTCAAGCCACTTTGTAGTAAACAGTCTGTGTGGATCAGGAGTGAGTTCTGTTCTGACCAGTGTTAGTACACTCAATGAATGCTCAGTCTTTTGCTCCCCTTCCTGTATTGATGGACATACTTTGATTTGTGGACACTCTCTTGCTTGAGAGAGAAGATTTCAGCCTTGTAAACAACCAGCCAAACAAGCAAAAAAAAATTAATTGATTTTTGGTAGGAAGCTGGGAACATGCAAGAACTATGATTGGGGAGAAATACTGGAGACAGTACAAATACTTTCTTATTAAAGAATTTGGAGATAGATGCCTGAAATCCTGGCTACTCAGGAGGCTGAGATCTGAAGTTCATGATTTGAAGCCTACCTGAGGAAGGAAAGTCCTTGAGACTTATATTTCTGATTAACAACCAAAAAGCCAGAAAGTGGAGTTTTGACTGGCACCGTTTTCCATTTCTACCCACACTTCCAAACAAGGGACCAAAGTGACAGTAAATGCTGTTATCACAGAATCTTTATGATATAAATGGATTTTCAGAACTAAGTAGTCAACACCAGAGCCCAGGTAAACACATTTTATCTTTGTGCAAAACACAGAGATTTCACAAGTATTGTAATTAGGGAAAAATTGTCTTATTACTTCAGCTAGTTTTCAACATTAATAGTAGCAGTTAATATATTAAGTAAGAATTATAATGTACACACTTAGCAATCTATTACCAGTTCTTGTTTTTTAAATTGACATCAGAGAAGAGAGAGAGAGGAGAGAGAGAGAGAGCGTGAGCGAGAGCGCCAGTACTAGAGCTTAACAAGACCTGGGCTCTCTTTCTTAGGTTTTTCACACAAGGCTGGCACTCTGCCATTTGAGTTATACTTCTACTTCCAGCTTTTTGCTTGTTAATTGGAGATAAGGCTCTCATGGGCTTTTCTCTCAGACTGCAAATCTCAGGTCTCAGCCTCCTGAGTAGTTAGGATTACATGCGTCAGTGCCTAGCTAGATACTCATTTTTCTGGAATTTTGAATACATTTGAAAAGCACTGGGATAATATATTTCAGAGAAAAGATAAATGTTCATCTTCTCAAGCAGCAAAACTGATATTTGTTCATGTATTATTGCTCCTTCAGATTGTAGAAATAAAAAGACTCAGGATCAATGAATTTTATCATAGGGAAATTTTCTGACTCCCCCTCCCCCCCCATTCATGGCTATTACTATTTATTCATTTTCACATGTGTATGTTGGAAAACATTGCTACTTTTCTCTAGCTCTAATTTGTGAAAATAATTTGAATTTTGTGTTTTATTTTTTTCAGATATGATGTTGATTCAAAGAGTCCTAACTTATCCAAACATGTAAGTTCATATTTCATGATTATAGAAAGATATTATCATAGTTTATTCTTAATATGTATGCTGATTTATTACCTGTTTTCTTTTTGTGCTGGTCATGGCAGGGAAAGGGGGGGGGCAGTATGAACTCAGGGCCTGGGCACTATCCCTGAGTTTTTGTGTTCAAGGCTAGCACTACTTGAACCACAGCCCCACTTTTGGCTTTTTTGGTGCTTAATTGGAGATAAGAATCTCAAGGACTTTTCTGCCTGGGCTGGCTTCAAGCCTCAATCCTAGGAATTCAGCCTCCTGAATAGCTAGGATTACAAGGTGAGACCCACCAGCACTTGGCTAAGAATTGTTTTTATTTTCTTTCTGCTGTTGTTTATACTGTGTTAGTTCAGATTTTCATCATCTTTTCCTTGTGTTTCACAGCCTTCTATATTTCCCATGATTTATATTGCCTTAACATTTTAATCTATCCTCTAACATATTAGTATTACAATTATAAGTATACTTATGTATTTATCTAACATCTTAATCTTCTACATTACTGTGTTGTAATTTATATATATATATATATATTTATAAATATATAATTGGAAATAAAATGGGTTAGTAAGTACTTGAGCTTAAGAATATTATGTCAGAAGAGAAAGGCGATGTACTTTTGAGTTATGATCAGAATTGTTAGAGCTGGGTGCTGGTGACTCATGCCTGTAATCTTAGCTACCCAGGAAGATGAGATCTGAGGATCACCGTTCAAAACCAAACTGGGCAGGAAAGTCTATGAGACTCTTATCTCCAATTCAGCACCAAAAAGGAGCTGTGGCTCAAGTGTTAGAGCACTAGCCTTGAGCAAAAAGCTCAGGGATAGCACTCCAGGGCCTGAGTTCCAGCCTCAGGATTTATTGGCACAGTAAAATAAAATAAAAAGAATAGTTGTTAGAGATGAGTGCCTTGAATTTCAGTTAGAATGTAGCCACAGCCAAAGCCTTTCCTAATTTGAAAGCCTGTAAGTACAGCTTTTAGGCCATGAGCAATATAGTCATTGAACTCAGAAGGAATTCACAGTGCAATTGGAGATGAGAGGAATGTGGATGCAGGCGAGGTCGGCTCCCTTGGTGGAGGCTTCTTCTAGAGTGGAGTTGGCCATCTGCCAATATCACAAAGTGAAAGGCCAAGTATGACTTTTTAGAACAGCTATGAGGAACCTAGGCTTGCATGTGGAATGTAGGCCCTTAGTTATGTTTTACAAATGAATAAATAAAAAGGATTTCGTAGCAAGAGAATGTCTTGGCAATATCAATGATTAAATCTTTTTGAGATTTTTTTTTTGTGCCAGTCCTAGGACTTGAACTCAGGGCCAGGGTACTATCTCTGAGCTTTTTTGCTCAAGATTTGTGGTCGACCACTCAAATCACAGCTCCACTTCTGGCTTTTGGGTGGTTAATTAGAGATGGAAGTCTCATAGATTTTCCTGTCTAGGCTGACTTTGAACCCCAATCCTCAGATCTCAGCCTCCTGAGAAGCTAGGAGGATAGGCTGTGAGCCACCAGTGCCTGGTTTTCTGAAAAATTTTTATTTCTAATAATTTTGAAGGAATTTCCTTTTAGGATGACTTAGATGTGTGGTAAATTGGCATCTTGAGTTCAAATCCTTTATTTTTTTGATACCAGTTGGGGAAATGGAGATAAGCTATAAAACTGTATTTTAGATATTTCACATTATAAATGAGGACTTGGTGAGACTGGAAACACGAGTATAACTTTAATTAGTTCTACTAAGGGTAAGATAAATTTCAGTGGAGGAATGTTATGTTCCAGGAAAAGACTGGTAGAATATAGGGTCATGAACCCTGCTAGGATTCTCTGGGGAAGAACCTTTATTAAAATAGTTTTCTCTGTGAGCCTTAGTGCATTTTGAATTCTGTGTTCGTTCTCTGATGTGCCGGTGGAACCCTGTCCTCTTAATGGTATTAGCAAAACTACATAGCACACCTTCATTTGCATAATTTAATTGCATCAGCTGAATAATTAATGCTAAGATTAATAATAAGCTTATTAGTATGTCTAGGATTCTGCTCAATGTGCTAGATTGGATGACACAAAGCTATACACAGTGTGTTAAACTTTCATACCCATAGGAAATCCAAAATGTAGTCATTAACTTGATTGGTATACAAAGATATCCACTCACAATTTTTGTTTTTGTGCAGTTTGGGCCTTCAACTCGAGATAGCATGGGTGCTATTCCTTAGCTTTTCTGTTCAATGCTAGCAGTTAGCAATTTGTGCCACCCCTCCACTTCTGGCATTTTACTGATTGACTGAGGATAAGAGTCATGATCATAACTTTCCTGCCTGGATCTCAGATCCTAGTCTCTTGAGGAGCTAGGATTACAGGTGTGAGCCACCAGTGCCTGGCTCACTCACAATTTTGTTGCTGCCGTGTTCATGGCCCAGTGGATTATTTTGACTACAAGTCACCAGCCTTTAGTGATGTGCAAATAGTCTTTAGCATATTCTTTAATTGTCATGCTTGTAGACTTCCACATGCAGACTTTGAAAAAAAATTTTTATTTTTTTATAAGGGAGATGGCAGAGGGGTTACAGTGATATGAGGATGGTAATGAGTACATTTCTTGTTGAACATTGTTACCCCTTCCTTTGTTTTTTCCCACTCCACCCCACCCCCCAAGTTGTAAAGTTCATTTCCAACATAGTGTCTTGTGAGTATCATTGTTGCATTGGTTCACCCTTTGCCCTTTGTCTCACCATTTCGTTATTCCCCATCCCTTCCCCAAATCAGGTAAATGTGTATAGACAAGACACAGGGTATCAAAAAAATAAAAAACAGTGACAACAGGGGATAAACCAAAGGGGGAAAAATGAAAGAAAAAAGAAATAACTTCATACAGTACCTTGAAAAACAAAGATGGAAACAAAGAAACAAAAAAAGAACCAGAACCCTCTTGTTTCCATATCTTAGAGTTCATTTTGGTTAGCATCATCAGGAAGAATGACATGGCCTTATTTGTAAGAAAATGGAAAGTGAAGTACTCCAGACCCAAAGGAATAGACTCCATGTTTTCCCTCACTTGTAATAATTATATCTATTATAGTCCTAGCAGAGGATCACAATAGCTCAATAGCTAGGTGCCTCTGACCATATAAAATGTAGACTCTTTAGTTATACTTCACAATATCTTCTGAAAATTAAGTGTATTTGGAGTTGGAATGGGATTTCTCTTAGATTCATCAATAGGACAAGATTCTTTCATCAGAATGTAAAACTATTCAATTCTTTATAACAAAACTGAATTTAACACATACATATACATATGCAATAGTCAGTTAGGCAAAATATTCCAGGTATTGTCTTAATTCTGGAAGAACACAGAAGGGAAGGAGACAAACAAGGTGTTTGTTGTATAGTTGCTTATGTCTTAAGGTGCAGATAGAATATTTTGTTCAAGGAAGATGACTGCAAAGAGTGATTAAGATAATTTGTTTTCTTCATAACACTATAGAGAGACAGACAAAAACTGCAAAACCAACATAAGCTAGTGTGGCCATCTAGGAAATGGGTTTAATGTCTCAATCCAACAAAGAAGTGAAGGAAAGGACACAGAAGACAGAGGAAGAACTTTAGCAAGGCACCAGGAAAAAAGTCCCATCCTGTTCACCTCTTGGTAAGGGAGAGTGGGTATAAACCCCCCCCACCCCCTTCCTACTTCTCTTCTATCCCTCCCCTCCTCCACACCCCAACCAGGGCCCCAGCAGCCACCTTGTCCTGTATGAGGCCAGAGCAGATGTTTAGGAGGTGGTTAAAGAACAGAATACCAAATCAGGCACTGGTGGCTCACACCTCTAATCCTAGCTACTCAGGAAACTGAGATCTGAGGACCAAGGTTCAAAGCCAGCCTGGGCAGGAAAGCCTATGAGACTGTCATCTCCAATGAGCCAGGCAAAAGCCAGAAGTGGAGGTGTGGCTCAAGGGCTAGAGTACCAGCCTTGAACAAAATTGCTTAGCAACAGTGCTCAGACCCGGAATTCAAGCTTCAGGACTGACACAACAACAACAACAACAACAAATAAACAAGAACAGAATGTAAGAAGACAGTGTAGGAGGAACAGATTTATTGAAAAATTTATTGCCAAGAGCCAAGCTAGCTGAGAGTGAAAGAAATAGACGTCTCTGAAGAGAAGGGATCCTGGAGCCAGAAGACTGATAATGTTTCCCAGATTTCTCCTTGTATTTTTTTTTAACTCTCCCATCCTTCCTCATATCTCAAGCATGGTCCTGCCCTTCCCAGAGCAGAGGGTGTCATGTTTTGAATTCCTGTGGGCATCTTAATTGGATCCTCCACTTCAGGTCAAGTATGTGAAAGCCTCATAGCACAGAGACTCTTCCTTGCCAGTTCTCACCTTGAAGACATACTCTGAGGAAGAAGAGGATGACCCGAAAACCTAGGGAACTAGCATTGCAAGCTAAAGGAACAGCAGTGTGTGTCCTAGCGGCAGGAAAGAATTTGCCAGATGGCTATGATACAAAGCCTATTATGAATGACTAAGAGTGTGAAATCAAATGGTTTGGAAAGGCTACAAATGAATCAGGTGATCTAGTGATTTGTAGTCTGTGGCTTCAAAACAAAACAAAGCACAACACAACTTTTGGGTTTTTCTTGATGAATTCTACATGGCAAGTGAAATGAATTGATTTATGCGGGTAGGTCGTGTGACAGTGCCAGATGAGATAGCTTATGCCTGTAATTCTAGCTAGTCAGAAGACAGAGATTGGGAGGATCACAGTTTGAATCTAGCCTGGGAAAAAGTTAGTGAGACCTTAACCAAGGTGTTGGGTGTGGTGACAAGCACTTCCTTCTCAACTAGAAAGAAGGTATAAGCAGGTGGATCCTGAGATCCTGGGCCAGAACAAGCCCCAAAGGGTAATGTGTCTGAAAAATAATGTCAAAAAGCACAAATATCTGGAGTCTTGACTCCAGTGGTAGATTACTTGCCTCACTTTGGATTGTAAGTGCAAGGCCCCTAGTGCAAACCCCAGTATCGACAGACGATACAAAGTGTGGCTACTTAGGTAAGGTAGGTGGTTGGAGAGTCTCTGGAAACTTCCCTAAGGGACCATCAGTCAGGTTCAAAGCCATGAACATGATAAAGTACTCAGGATGGGAATTTATTTTTTTCTGATCTGATGAACTTGCAGTCAGATGTGAATGGAAGAGAAATTAAACAAATGCTCAGTGACTGGTGAAAACAGCTCAGTTAATGGAGATGCAGTTTGTGCAACCAAGTCCATTGGGAAGAGATTTGAGGCAGAGCTGAAGATGGACGGAGCAGTGGGAGGCTCAGGGATAAGCCAGACTCGTGCTCTGCTCTCTGGAGTATCCGCATGGAGACACTACTTAGGCAGCGGTTATTAGATAACCATAGAGATTTGGAAACCCAACTGTTGGGCCATGGAATTAGGACTCCAGAAAAGGGGCAAAAGGGGAAAATAATGAGACTGTCACCTTTAGAAATTTGATGGAAGAAGCGTAGTTAAGATTGTCATGTAAACAGACCATTGGTGGCTCACACCTCTCATCCTAGCTACTCAAGATGCTGAGATTTGGGGTTCACGGTTCAAAGCCAGCCGGGGCAGTAAAGTTTATGAAACTCCTATTTCCAATTAACCAGCAAAAAGCTGGAAGTGAGCTGTGGTTCAAGTGGTAAGAGTGTCAGTCTTGAGTGAAAAAGCTACGGGACAGTGAGTTCAAGCACAAAATCAAAACCATAAAAAGAATAAAGGCTGTCATCTTAAAAGCACTTCCAATTCAAGCCCCACAGTGGTGTTCCTCCATGGAAGATGGGGATCACAGTCTCTGCTTGCCATGGTGACCTCCCCTCTGGTACCCTTTGCCTGGCTTCCTCAGCACTAACGCCTTGTCTTCTTACTTTTCTGGGAGCATCTGGATACATTCTTGTCTTAGGGATGGTGTATTTGTTAGAGATGTGGTTAAAATCATTAAAAAAATAAGTAGTTCCATGTGTCGCTGAGTGCCCCTGGCTCATGCCTATAATCCTAGAGGCCAAGATCTGAGGGTCAAGGTTCGAAGCCAGCCTGGGCAGATAAATCTGAGAGATTCTGTTGTCTAATGAACCAGCAAAAAGCCACAAGTGGAGGCTTAGCTCAACCGTGAGTGTGATAGCTTTGAGTGAAAAAGCCAAATGAGAACACAAAGCCTTGAACTGAAGCTCCATTATCAACACACAAAGAATAAAAGAAGTATCATGTTTGATTATCAAAAGTATGTGTCCTCGCTGGGCGCTGGTGGCTCACGCCTCTAATCTAGCCACTCAGGAAGCTGAGGTCTGAAGATCATGGTTCAAAGCCAACCTGGTCATAAAAGTCTACGTGAGACACTTACCTCCAACTAACCACTCCAAAACTGGAAGTGGCATTGTGGCTCAAGTGGTAGAGCACTAGCCTTTTGCAAATAAAGCTCAGGGTCAGCACTCAGGCCCTGAATTCAAGCCCCATGACCAATCAAAAAGAAAAACCCCCAAACAAAAAAAAACCCCACAACTTGTCCTGGAGCATGTAGTGCATAAGTTAACTAAACCCCCACCTCCATCCTTATAGTTGACGTGATTTATAGGAATTAAATAAATAGAGAGGAAGCCTGAGCCATCAGCAGGGAGCATCAGCAAGGAAATAGGAGTATATAATAGCATTAGCACTTTATAATGCAAGTTATAAAATGTTCACAGGTAATATGAGTTTTCATTTCCTCACCAGTTTTTTTTTTTTACAACATTGGTTAAAATATTGCAAGGCAATACATTTTATTACTTTATTTTCTCTTGTTTTGATTACCTTGGCCTGAAAAATGCTAAAAATTAGTCAAATGACTACAAAAATAGGTAGAACCAGTGTATGAAAAAAACAAGTTATGTTTCTATCTTACAAAGAAATAGAATGTTTCAGTCCTGAGCAGTTGATTGCACCCACTTACCATGGCATATTAAAACTGAACTATTAATAAAAAGTATTACATGTCCTCCAATCTAAGTTATCTATTAATTATGGAAATCAAATTTTCAGAGGTTCATTTATGAAGCAGGAAAGTTGTCTAAAAATTATCTACACTGGAATTTTGTGTGTGTGTGTGTATGTGTGTCTGTGAGAGAGAGAGAAAGAGAGAGAAAGAGGGAGAGAGAGAGAGAAAGAGAGAGAGAGAGAGAGAGAGAGAGAGAGAGAGAGAGAGAGAGAGAGAGAACTGGGGCTTGAACTCAGGACCTGGGCACTGTCCCTGAGCTTTTTTGCTCAAGTCTAGCACTCTGCCACTTGAGCCATAGCTCCACTTCTGGCTTTTTGGTGGACATTACTTGGAGATACCATTATCATGAATTTTCCTACCCAGGCTAACTTTGAACTTCAACCTCAGATCTCAGCCTCCTGGGTAGTTAGGATTACAGATACGAGCCATAGGTACCTGGTTATTAATACTTTTTTTTTAACCTTGAGGAGGAGGAGGATGTTGGAGACATTTATTATTATGTATTTAAACTCTAAGCATCTGCTCTCTGTATTTTCATATGTTATAAGCATCTTTTAGCTTTAATGTTTACAACAAGTTAAGAAGCAGACATTACTGTGGTCACTTTGTGGATCCAGGTTCTGTGGCATGGGGATAGGACTGTGGTTCATTCAGGATATGAACTCATTTAACATTTATCTGGATTATTCCCATTCTTATGGAATATGTTACAGCACATTTCAAAATAAGGGCTGGGCACCAGTGTCTCTTGCCTGTAATCTCAGGAGGATGAGATCTGAGGATCACTGGTTGAAGCCAGCCCAGGCAAGAAAGTCTGAGACTTTTATCTTCAATTAACCACCAACAAAGTCAGAAGTGGAGTGGCTCAAGCCATAGAGTGCTAGCCTTGAGCATAAAAACTTAAGCAACAGTTTCAAGGCCCTGACTCCAAGCTCTAGTACTGACAGTAAATAAATGAGCTTAAAGTGCCAGACAAAGGATATTCACATGGTAAATCAGTGCATATTGGATTTACTTCATCTATTATTAAACCTTAGCAATTCAATATTTCAACCAGGAAAACAATGCAAATAGGATGGGCAGAGTTTTTACTGTCAAGATTGTTTGGAACCAGGTAGTGTAGATCATGCTTGTAATCTTCGCCATAGTAGAGGCTGGTATCTGAGAATTGTGATTCAAAACCAGGTGGGGCAGTAAAGTGTGTGAGACTCTTATCTCCAATTAACCCCAGAAAACTAGAAGTGGAGCTGTGGCTCAAAGTGATAGAGTGCTTGCCTTGAGCAAAAAAGCTCAGGGACAGTGCTCAGGCCCTGAGTTCAAGCCCCTGACTGACAAAAAAAAAGCCTCCCCCCCAACAAAACCCAAAAGTTCTTTTGGGAATTTATGCAATTGTATTCTCTTGTGTATTTTAGGACTTCCTGGGACAAGTGTTTTGCACACTGGGGGAGATTGTTGGGTCCCAAGGAAGCCGCTTGGAGAAGCCAATAGTGTAAGTATTGATTTTTTTAAAATTCAGACAATGAAATGTCAAGTGTTCAGTTTCTATTTTGGTAGTTTGGAATTTGTAAAGATTTGGTTTGCAGAACGATTGTGGGTTTTGAAATCTTGTTTGAGATTTTTTTTTCTTTTCAATAATTCATTTTTGACATATTTGTAAAGGATAATGCATATTTCAGCTGTTCAGACTGATCCAATTTAAACAAGCAAATGTGTTATTTTCTTTTTGATTGTATTTCTTTTTGATTGACTAGATTCAATATGTGTGTGTGTATGTGTGTATGTATGCATGCACTCATGCTAGTACTGAGTGGAATTTAGAACCTGGCTACTGCCCTTTACTATTTTTTCTTTTGCTCAAGGTTCCTGGCGCTTTACCACTTGAGCCACAACTCCACTACTGGCCTTTTCTGAGCAGTTTGTTGGAGATAAAAATCTCATGGACTTTCCCACCATACTGGTTCGAATTGAGATCGTGGGCTTTCAACCTTTTGAGTAGCTAGGATTCAGGTGTCAGCCACCAGTTTAGTTTTAGAAAGTTATTTTTCTAATTTAATTTTCAGAAAGCTGTTAAATTACAAATACTTCCCCCCAGAGGAAATTCCTATCTATATTATTTTTGAAGCAGATTAAAAAAATTCTCACTTATTGTGTTGTAGGGTAATTAGGACATAGGGTAGGTTTTTCTTCCTGTGCAGCTAGATCCAAAGTCCCACTAAACAAGACTTACAAATGCTAATTTATACTAAAAGGTGAGAGACTTTGGCCAATGATCAGAAGAATAGGCAAATGCTGAGATTTGCTGGGTCTGAGTCAGGATTGTTTTACATGATTCAAAAATATAGGATGATGTTGTTTTTCTCTTAGTTCTTCCTGATGATGGAGTAAGATAATTACCCAACTCCTGGAAACACATTTATATGATGCATGTGGCAAATATATGTGGTGTTTCATCTAAAGGGCAAATTGAATTCAATGAAGGTATTGTGAGATTTTGTAACAATGTGTATGTGCCTGTAATCCTGCCTACTTAGGAGGCTGAGATCTGAGGATCCAGGTTCATAACCAGCCCAGGCAGGAAAATCCATGAGACTCTTGTCTCCAATTAATCAGCAAACAGTGGGAATTGAGATATGGCTCAAGTAGTAGAAAACCAGTCTTGTGTGAAAAAGCAGTGAGTTTTTTATGCATGATCACACAGATTCCTCCTTCCCCTACATTCAATTAAGGAGGTGGACTCATCTTAAATTTTTAAAAAACTTACTGTGTCACAAATGCTAGCTTTCTTCCATACCATTAGCCAAGAAATTTAGCTCTTATTTACTAATTTGTTTTCCATTAGAGATTTATTTTTCAATTAGCTTCCCATTTATATTCTAAATTATTCAAAATATTCCCGTGTTCTTCCTTTAAATGGCCTCCTTGAACTTATTTCCTGATAATTTATTCAGAACACTTTCTTTCCTGCTTCCTAATTGCAACTCTTTGTGATCACGTTTCTGTAAAGACAATCTTTTTAAATCCATGACAAAATATTTGGAGACAAACTAGAATTCAATATTACTTATTAGTATTATTATTTAATTATTTTTGGTGCATGTCCTGGGGCTTTAACTCAGGGCCTGGGGTTTTTCTTTTTCTGCTTTCTTAAGGCTAAGTCTCTATGACTTGAGGCACAGCTCCACTTCAGGCTTTTCAGTACTGAATTGGAGTTAAAAATCTCACAGACAGGGGCTGGGAAGGTGGCTCAGTGGTAGAGCGCTTGCCTTGCATGCTCGAGGCTCTGGGTTCGATTCCTCAGCACCACATAAGCAAAAAGAAAAAAGCCGGAAGTGGCGCTGTGGCTCAAGTGGTAGAGCGCTAGCCTTGAGTTGAAGAGCTGAGGGACAGCGCCCAGGCCCAAAGTTCAGGCCCCATGACCGGACCCAAAAAAAAAAAAAATCTCACAGACATTCTTGCCCAGGCTAGCTTCGAATCATGATCCACAAATCTCAGCCTCCTGAGTAGCTAGGATTACAGGCTACCAGCTCTTGGTTCAAAATTATTTATTATTAATCAAGCCTCTGGCGACTTAGCTACAGTTGGTATAAAGTTTCTTATTAAAGAATCAGAACTTGAATTGAAACTTAAGCCTTCCTACTTTTGTGCTTCAATTATTGTTGACGTTTTTCTATTTAAAGGAAATTTTTCTAATTTGTCTTTTAAAAATGAAGAGTATTGCCTTTCCATATTTGGTAATTATGTCAGTGAAATGATTTCAAAGTGAGCGTCAATACATTTTCGTTCAGTGTTTAATTAGCAGCTCAGAAATATCCACCACTCCCACCAGTTCCATTCTGTTGGAGTTAAGTTTGGAGCAAACACATTTATCACATTTTACTTCCATCCTCCACATTGGGGGATTTTCCTCCCCTGTACCCTAGTAAAATTGAATGGTATGCTACATAATTTGTCTGTGCCTTTCCGTGACTCATCGCGCCTCCCTTTAGTTCCTCCCTGTATTATTTAGCTTGGCTCCCACTCAACAGTGTGTTTTCTCTTGCTGGGAGATTGTATCCAATTTTCTCTATGCTGCTGTCAGAGTCTTCATGTATCTTCAGGGATTTTGTGAGTGGATTCAGCGAAGCCTTCTCAAATATAGTTTAAGGGAAGATTACCCTCCTGTTCTCTGAGAGGGAAGTCATTTCTCATGTTCTTGGAGTCCTAGGCCTGTGTCCCAAGATGTAGAATCATGAAGTAAATTATTATTCTGGGGAGGAGCAGGAGCTTCAGGAATGATCGAGCTCACAACTGTTTTTGGCTAAAGGGAATGGAGGAGGGAAAAGGCCAGGGGCTACCTAGGAGGGCAAGGATGCTGGGTGATTGGCCCATGGGGCTGTGGGGATAAAGGCAGGGACCACATTCCATCAGTGCAGAACACAGGGGCAGGGACTCAGAGACAGCAGCAGGCATCGGACCATTAGAGCTGTCTGCTGGACAGCTGAGCTGAGCTCCGGTGGTGACAGAGCAGTGGGGTCAGTCACTGTGGAAGTTCAACTAGAGACATGTGGGAAGAGAGTATGAAGAGAGAGTGGAAGAGTAGAAGAGAAATGGGGCTCTCAGGGGCTTGAGGCTGGAACCTTTAGCTGTTGTTTCAAAGTCCTAACTCAATGAGGTCTCATCCTGAAAACTCTGTGAAAACATAGGCAGATACAATGGGAGAGAGGGAGAGGAGGAGGAAGAGAGCTAGGAGATGCTTAAGTTTTGTAGATGAGAAACATAAAAACAATTTAAAAATGTCATATCTTTATCTTATTTTTTTTTTTAAACTAGGACTGAGGCTTGAACCCTTGGGTTTTTCAGTCAAGGTTGGTGCTCTACCACTTGAGTGACAGCTCCACTTTTGGCTCTTTGGTTAATTGGAGTTGTGCATCTCACAGACTTTTCTGCCTGGCTGGCTTCAAGCAGGAACTCTCAGATCTCAGCCTCCTGAGTAGCTAGGATTACAGGCGTGAGACAATGGCATCAGGCTTATGGCATGTCCTGATTATACAACATTTTGCTCCTTCTTGTCCTCTTTACTTAATTATTAACTTCCCTGCGAAGTAGATTACCTTTTTCTGCTCAAAACTGGCATTCTACCACTTGAGCCACACCTCCATTTCAGCTTTTGGCAGGTTAATTAGAGTTAAGAGTCTCTCTTATTTATCTGCCTGGCTGACTTTGAACTCAGATCTCAGCCTCTTGAGTAGCAAGAACTCACCAGTGCTTGGTTTTGATTGGAATTTTTATATGCTCTAGTTTACTTTTGTGGGTAGAATATTTGGCTACAATGGAAGATGCTTTTACTAACCCAGTATGGGATCTGATATCTGTATTGTCGTAGCAGACCTGGATGACACAATTTGTTGGGTTGGCCATTTGGGCAAATTTATTTTCAGTTCCTTGGCTTGACTTTTGTCCCTTGAAGTGCCTTGATGAAAATACACTTTTCAGAGAGTTGTGAGAAATAACAATACTTTCTATAATATATTTGTCATGGAGAACACTGGAGCTTAATAAAATACTTAAATAATGTCTGCTATTTTTCTTTACAATAGCTACTATCATTTTAGGAAAAGACCTCTTAAATCAAGTTACCTAATAATCTTTTCCTTTCTTCCCTTTCCTTTTCCTTTTCCCTCTTTCCCTCCTTACATCCTCCCTTCCTCTTTTCTCCTTCCCCTTACTCCTTCCCTCCCTTCTTCCCTTCCTTCCTCTCTCTGCCTCTCCTTCTCTTTCCCTTCTCCTTCCACTTCCTTGTTCCCTTCCCTTCTTTGTCTCCCTCTTTCCCTTTCTGTCTCCTTCCCTAGCATCTTTCCTTTTCTTTCCTTCCTTTCCTTCTATCCTCTTTTTCTTTTTAAGCTAGGAATTTTGCAAACTAAGGGAAAGGAAAATGTTAAATCAAATTTCATTATATAATTTATATAAACTAAGTGTTATGCAAATGTGAATATTAATTTTTTTCAGCTGGGCACAGGTGGCTAGCACCTGTAATCCTAGCTACTTAGGAGGCTGAGATCTGAGGATCTCAGTTCAAAGCTAGCTTGGACAGAAAAGTCTCTGAGACTCTTAATCTCCAATTAACTACCAAAGCAAAAACAAAAACAACCCAAAACTGGAACCAGAGCTATAGTTCAAGTGGTTGAGTGTTAGCCTTGAGCACTTAGGGACAGTTGCTGGATATTGAGTTTAAGACCCAGGACTGACACAAACACAAAAATAAAATTGCTTATTTCTATTCTTAGTATGAGGCTAAACAACTGAATTGGGAAAATTGGGTTTGATTATCTTTCCTTAATTTGTGTTTTATAAGATGGCTTTATTACTTTGTTGGTAATGTCCAGAATTTCTGGAGTGTTTTTCTGTAATTGCAAAAATAACCTCAAAGTCAATCACTTAATCATTATTTATATTGTATCATTTGCAAGGATCCCACAGACATATGTACATATTAACAATATTCCTATGATT